GCAGCCAGGAAATCAATACATGGATTGCACTGGGAAAGTCTACTGTCACGGACCTCTCCAGAGTACTGAAGAGCAACAATATCAGTCTGGAGACTAAGGTACATCTGATCCAGGACATAATCTTTGCAATTACTTGCTATACTTCAGAAAGCTGGACGATGAATAGGGATGATAGAGAATTGATGCCTTTGAGCTGTGGCACTGAAGAAGAGTATTGAAGATACCATGGACTGTTAGGAGAGCAAATAGGTTCATCCTAGGGAGTGTGAATCCAAGCTGCTTCTTGGAGGCAAGGATTCTGAGGCTCTGTCTGACATACTTTGCCATGTTTCAGGGAGTCCTTAGAGAGGGACATAATTCTTAGAAGGATGGAGGGACAGCTCAAGAAAGGAAAGCCCCTGATGAAATGAATTGATTTAGTGACTGGGGTTATGAGGGTAGGTGTATCAGAGACAATAAGGTTGACAATTAGGATAGAGCAGGGTTCACGGCTGTTGTACATAAGGTCGCTATGTGTAGAAAGTGACTCGACAGCACATAACAACAACAAATATTCCCTTGCTCTGTTTGAACAACAGCCTCCTGGTCCAGGTATAGGTTTCATATAGCACAATTAAGTGCTTTGGGATTCCCATTCTTCTCAATATTAGCCGTAACATAACATCTATCATGATAGATGGAGAAAAGCTTGAATCTGTCAACAACTTCTTCTTACTTGGATCTATACTTAATACCTTGGTACCAGCAGTTAGGAAACTGTGTGGATCAAAATAGATGATGACCAATATTGAGATGAATAGGAATCTCAGAACTCTTAACTGAGCTCATGGGAAACCTATCCATAGACCAAGAAGTTATTGTATAAGCAGAACAAGGGAGCATTGCATTGTTTAAAACCAGGAAAGATGTGTCAGGATTGTATCTTTTCTGCACTTAGGTTATCCAACAAAAAGCAACCCAAAACTACAGCCATCAAGTTGATTCTGACTCATAGCAACCCAGTAGGATAGAGTGCAACTGCCACATTGAGTTTCCAAGGCTGTAAGTCTTATAGGTGCAGGCTTCCTCCTCTTGAGTTTGCAGACCTAATAGATTTGAACCTCCAATATTTTTATTAGTTCAGTGATACAGTACTTAGATTTACACTGCTTTATGTGTTCAAGGCCATAAAGAATTTAAGGGCCAAAGGAATTAGAGAGTAAAATGTTAACATAGTCCCTTTTGAGGTTATGAAAATAATTAGAGGAACTCTGTAATTAGGCAAAAGGAATCAAGTATTATGCCAGCTGCATTAAATCTTGTAAACTGACACAACAGAATAAACATACTAATTATGTTTCAGAAGTAAAGTGAAACAATTTAAGATGATAAATCTAATGATGGTGATTTGAATCCATCTGCCAGTCCAGGAAAGAAATGTAGGCTGTTTCCTCCCAAAAAGTTATAAAGCCTCGGAACTTCAGGGATGAAAGGTCACCATAAGTTGATTATGTTTCAGAAGAGAGTAAATGGCAGAGAGTGTACTTTATTATAACCAAACCAAAACTCCACTACCGTTAAGTTGATTCCAACTCAGATCCTATAGGGTTACCAAGTCTTTGGATCTTTAGGAAAACCAACTGCCACTTCTTTCTCCCATGGAACAGTTGGGGAGTTAAGAGTCACAGAACTTTTCATTAGCAGCTGATGACTTAACCACTTAACCATCATTGGTTTTGTGTGCCACTGAGTTGGAATCAACTCATAACTGTTCCTCAGGTTTTCAGAGGCAGTAAATTGCACAGAAAGAGATTGCCCATCTTTCTCCCTGGAGCAACTGGTGGATTTGAACCACATGCCTTTGGCATTACAAACACAGCTTCTCACCATTAATCCACTAAAGCTCTCGGCCATGCATTCTGGAAGGTTATCCTTTACAAAGATAAATTCTGGAAGGTTATCCTTTATAAAGATAAAGCCCCAGATCAAAGTCAAACTGAAATAATGATTACAAATACCTGTAGACTGGAAGACTGTAAACTCCTAATATGTGTCATTGAACTAATCTCCAATACTTAGGAAAAATTAGTGTTCACTAAAGCTTTGTTACACTCAAATTGATATAACAGAACTGAGCACTGAGCAATTACCTACTGTTGTGTAGCAAATAATACCTCTTTCCTGAACTCTTGAATAAGAAAAGACAAAGGAAGTATTCATTGCATTATCAGCAGAAAGGTATTCTGAAAGCAAATTATGTATAGTACATTGGGCTAGATGCCATCAAGTTAGAAGCGATTCAAAGTTGACCCTCCAAGAGGTAGTCAGAGGCTGTAAATTATACAGGAGAGGATTGCCCATCTTTCTCCTTAGGGGCAACTAGAGGTTTTGAACCATGTGCCTTCGAGTTACCAGCACAACTTCCTTTCCACTAAGCCACCAGAGCTCCCTGAAAGCAAATTGATGCTAACGTTTTCACTAACAATCCAGATTATCTTGACTCTTTGCAGCTAAAATTATGTTTGTCAATGAATATACAGGTTAGACTACAAAACAAAGAGAGCAGTACTCAGCAGATCTTCCTCTGCCCCACCCTGCATTCTGACATCAGAAAGGACTTCACAAGTAGAGAGCCTTTGAACTCGCATAACCAAAACCCCACTGTTGTCGTGAAGTCAATTCCAACCCAAGGGAACCCTTTAGAAAAAGGAAGAACTGCCCCACAGGATTTACCAGACTACAGTTCTTCATAGAAGGTGACTACTGAGTCTTTCTCCCAGAGTAATTGGTGGGTTGACCCACAGACATTTTGGTTAGCAGCTGAGTGCTGTAATCACGGAACCACAGGTCCTTGAATCACCCTACAAAGTGAAAAGGATATCCATTGAGAAGCTGTTTCAAAGTTTAGTTTTGGGTTTTAGTACACGGTAGATCACTGAAGAGGAATGTTGCCAATAGACCCCTCCAGGGAAAAAAAAATTATATCGAAAATGTGTTCTAAATTAAAAAAGAGAAAGGCAAACACATGAGAAGCAGATGATCACAAAGTACACAATTAATTGTATTTACCTGAAATTCTAATTTAACTAGGTAGTATTGTATTTTATTTTTTTTTTCTAAATCTTGAGCACCCTACAAATACATGTTTCCTTGGTGTTAACATTAAATTTGATAATACTAAATGCCTCCTACCAATTAAAATTTGTTATGTATCTTTCAAAAATTAGGTGCTTGTTATTACGTGCCATCAATTCACTTGTGACTCATAGACCCAACAGCTCTGAATCCTGCTCTATCCTGAGTCAACCTTATTGTCTCTGACACACCTAACCCCAGTCACTGAGTCAATCCATCTCAGCGAAGGTCTTCCCCTCCTGAGCTGTCCCTCCACTCTCCCAAGCATGATGTCCCTCTCCAAGGACTGGTGCCTACTTGCAACAGGCCTAAAGTATATCAGATGGAGTTTCAGAATCCTTACATTAAAGGGGTAGCCTGTTTTCACCCTCTCTAGGATGAACCTGTTTGTTCTCTTGGCAGTCCATGGTATACTCAATACTCTAGCATCACAGCTCAAAGATGTCAATTCTCCTTCTATTATCTCTAGTCATTGTCCAGCTTTCTGATGCATAGTGAGTAATTGTGAAGACTATGGGCTCGATCAGACATACCTTAGTCTCCAGTCTGACATCATTGCTCTTCAGTACTTTGGCAAGGTCACTGACAGCAGACTGGCCCAATGCAATTCATGTTTTTATTTCCTGGCAGCTGGTACCAAGAGTGTTGATTGTGGACCCAAGCAAATGGATGTTGTTAGCAATCTCAACCTCTTCACTGTCTATCATGATTGGTGGTGAGAATCTTTGTTCTCTTGATGTTGAGCTTCAATCCATATTGAAGGCAGCACTTCTTGACTTTCTGCAGCAAACACCTCTGGTCCTCCTCAGTTTCAGCAAGCAAGGTTGTGTCATCTTTATAAAGCAGGTTGTTGATGAGTCTTACTCCAATCCTGATGCCACATTCCTCTTCATAAATCCCAGCCTCTAGAGTGATCTGTTCCCTATAGAGATTGAAAAGGAATGGAGACAGGACACCTTCCGGGAATACACCTTTCATAATTTTTGAACCATACAATGTTTCCTTGCTCTGTTCAGACAACTTCCTCCTGGACCAAGTATAGGTTTCACATGGTTTTGAGTACACCAGTAGATCATTGAAGAGGAATGTTACCAATAAACTCCTCCAGAAAAAAAGCACAATCAAGAGTTCTGGGATTCCCATTCTTCTCAAAATTAACCACAGTTTATTGTGATCCACACAGTCAAATGCCATTGCATAGTCAATGAAACACAGAAATAGACATTCCTCCGGTACTCTCTGTTTTCAGTCAAAATCCATCTAACATTAGCTATTATATCCCTAGTACCATGTATGCACTGTGACACTGATATTAATGGTTGGCTACCCAATGCAGACAGAGAGTGGGATGGAGTTCCCTGATTAAAACAAGCTTGGAAGGAGGAGTGGCACCCACTTCCATAATAGCTTGTCTCCGGAAACCCTATGAACCTGGAGAGAGGATGAAAGGCACCCCCAAGCGTCAAGGACTCTCCTTCATAGGGTCGCTATGAGTCACCTGCAACTCGGCGGCACTTAACAACAACAACAACCATATATGCTAAGGGGTTGTTTATAAAAATGTATTTATTGTTATGAAATTAATAGAGGACACTTTTCTGAATTTTAGTTTAAGCAAACTACTTGTGGCACTGTCCATAACTGGCCAATCAGGTTAGCTTATTGTTAAAGGCAGTAGATATGATATCAGTTAAACACCCACTGTGACATGTTTCTTACCTAGAAAATTCACTGTTGGCACTTGCTGAGGCCTTGATAAACACAGGATTTTGCCCACTCTGGCAGAGGCTTACAGACAGTTATGAAATGGAAAAGGCACTGTTTTGTGCTTGGAAGTTTCCTAAATCAAGAACTTAATGAGATATCAGTTTACGTCACATAGTAAAATGTGGAAACAATATAATTTCTTTAAAAATGGCATGAGGGGTGGGTTAGAAGATAATGCATTTTTCATGGTATGGGACTTTATTGAGTCCTGGATTTTTCAAAATTATTGGACAACACTCGTCTTTATAGTTTTTCTAGGAATTATATTTGAGATGGCACTCATAAAACTTTGGACATCCTTTCAGAAGAAGCCTGCAATTTCAAAAAAGAAGAGTTCACATACCCAGAAGGTAAAAAGAATTTCTTTCTTTTTACCCATATTTCAAAATAATGCATAAAATTTTGGAATTTTGGTATTCAGATTAATTTGCTAATAATTTGTCTCCCTTGAGTTAGAATGAAGACAGATGCCTACAATGTGGAAGATTAGGTAAATATATCATTTATACTTTAATATACAACATATCGAGCCTGAGCTTCTCCCAGTGATATTCTTTTTTTTTATTATTCTCATTTATCTCTAGGTAATTGGTTAATTTCATGTCCATCTTTACAAGAAAGGTAAGTGATGTATTTTTAAATTAAATCAAATATGTTATTTATGCTCAAGTAAACATTTATTTCTGAAAGTTCAGATACCATTTCACTGTATGTAAAGACCACAGTTTTTAATATTTTGATTGAATCTAATATTTTTAATGTTGATGTGCTAAGGCCAGTCATAGGTTATTGAAATTATTCCAAGTAACAATTCTTTGATGCTAGTACTATATATTTCTTTTATTAAAAATTAAGAACATATGGCCTAGAGAAGTTAAGTCGTTTGTTTTTCACCTAATCCTCCCTCTCTAATACACACAAATAAATAGTAATCATTCTTGTTTTTGTTTTGTCCTGTTGATTTAGAACCAACTCATAGCTGACACTTTAGCAGCTTTTCAGAGGCTGGAAAGCATCCGGTGGATTCAAACCACTTTGGAAGGCAGCACAGCTTCTTACTACTGATCCATCAGAGTTCCCAGGAATCCCTAGCTCTTATAACTTATTGAAAAAAAATTTAGCACTTACTAGGGATTGAGAAGCACTACAGAAAAAGGCTGGGCAATATGTTTTCATAAAGGTTATAGTCAAGAAAACCCTACTGAGCAGGATTCTCTACTCCATGACACGTGAGATCACAATGAGTCAGTATCAACTTGATGGCAGTAGACAAGTTTTGTTTTGTTGGATCAAGAAAGCAGAGCAAAGTGCTCTAATGGTGACATATTGTAAAACCAGAATTTAATATCATCTCAAAGTTAATTCTAGTGTTAGCAGTCAATACTGGCATCGCTACTTTTGTTTCAATACTTGCTTTAATAAAAATTCATTCCTCAATCATTCTGCATCTTCTATATGATGAACTGTGTTTGATTCTAGAATACAAAAATAAAATAATTTCTGTTTTCAAAGAAGCTTGTATTCTTGTGGCGAATACAGATACATAAAAGATGATGGTTATATAGTGTAGTAGCATGCTTTTGTTTCTAGATGTGGTCCAATTGAGTATAACTCACAGCGTTCTTATGAACAACAGATCTTAACCCTACCCTGTCCTGTGCCATCCTTATCATCTCTGACAAACTTGAGTCTATTGCTACAGTCACTATGTTAATCTCTTAAGGGTCTTCCTTTCTTTTCTTTATCTGCCACCTTTCTAAGCATAATTTCCCTTTCAAGGAATAGCCCTTCCTAAGAACATGCCCAAAGGACATGAGAAAAAGCTTCACCATCCTTACCTCTAAGGACCATGCTGGCTGCACTTTCTCCAAGACATATCCATGGAGTATTCAGCACTCTTCTCCAGCATGACTCAAAGGCATAGATTTTTCTGTCATTCATTGTTTCCCTGTCAGATTCATAGCAAGTTATTGAAAAGACTATGTCCTGAATCAGGCAAACTTTAGTCTTTGAACTGACATCATTGCTCCTCAGTACTTTGGAGAGGTTCCTGATAGCTAATTTTCCCAATGCAATATGTCTACTGATCTCTTAACTTCTGGTACCAACGGTCTTGATTGTGGATCCAAGTAAGATGAAATCCTTGACAATTTTATTATTTTATCCATCTTTGTAGCCTGCTGGGCCAACAGTGAGGATTTTTGTCTTCTTGATGTTGAGGTACAATCCATATTGATCTTCTGTAGCAAGGACTTCACGTCCTCCTCTTTCAGCAAGCAAGGTTGTGCCATCCACATAATGCAGATTGTTATTAAATCTTCCTCTGATCTTGATGCCACATTCTTCTTCATATAGGCAGCTTCTTGAATGATTTGCTCAGCACATAGAATGATTGTTCAGCACACATCTTTCTTGATTTTAAACCATGCAGTGTTCCCAACAGTTTCCTGGATTGGATAATAGGTTTTATAGGAGCATAATTAAATATTCTGAGAGTCTCATTCTTCTCAATGTTAGCCATAGTTTGTTATAATACACATAGTCAAGAGCCTTTGCATAGTCAATAAAACATAAATAGGCATTCTTCTGCTTTCACCAAGATCCATCTACCATGAATAATGATATTCCTGGTGCCATAGCCTCTTCTAAATCCAACTTGAACTTGTAACATAATGATAGGAATGGGCTGAAGTCACTAACATAGTGATTTACTGTTTGCTGTCAAGTTGGAACCAACTCATAGCTGACCCTTCAGTGACCTTTCAGAGACTATAAAGTGCACAGGAGGAAATTGCCCATCCTTCTGCTGTGGCACAGCTGATAAAGTCAAACCATCTACCTTTGGGATTGTAGCCCAGCTTCTTACTGCTAGGCCACCAGAACTTCTTAACACAGTGACAGAAATATTATAATAGTAACATGTTGTCATTGTTGATATGTACCCTCAAGTCAAAACCAACTCATAGCTGATCTTCCAGCAAGTTTTCAGAAACAGTGAATCACATGGGAGGAGATTGCTGTCTTTATCCCATAAAGCACCTGGTGTATTGAACCGCATACCTTTGTATTGGCAGTATCATTCCTTACTACTAAGCTACAAGAGCTTCCTAATGGAACTATTAAGGAGATACTGAAGCCAGTATGGGAAAGTTAGGAATGTGGGGACTTAAGAAGATTATAATGCTGGGGCTTAAATTTTAAAATTAGCAAAAAAATATCATTACAAGGAATTTATATGTATATTCTAGAATATGAACAAAGATAAAGTAGTGAGAAATAGATACACTGAACTAACCATTTGGACTTCTAACTGGAAGAGTAGTGATTCAAATCCAAGACAGAAAGATACAGTTATCTTTCCATACCAGATGAGCTGTGGGAGGATCTCAAGAATATCATCCATAAAGAAGGCAAGAGGTCATTACAAAGACAGAGGAGGAATAAAATACCAAGATAAATGTCAGATGCGGCTCTGACTATAGCACTAAAGCACCAAAAATCCAAAGCAAAGGGAAGAAATTAAGGAGGTGAATAGGAGATTTCAAAGGGCAGCATGGGAAGACAAATATTATAATGAAATGTGCAAAGATCTGGAATCAGAAAATCAAAGGGGCTAAACTCACTCAGCATTTCTTATGATGAAGGAACTGAAGAACAAATTCAAGCCTTGAGTTGCAATACTTAAGGATGCTCTGGGCAGAACATTAAATGACCCAAGAAGGATTAAAAGAAGATAGAAAGAGTATGCAGAGTCATTGTACTGAAAGGAATTGGTGGACACAGAAGAATTTCATGAAACAATGTATAAGCAAGAGCCTGTGATGATGAAGGAAGAAGTTCAAGCTGCTCTGAAAGAATTGGCAAAAAACAAGTCTCCAAGAATTGACAGCATACCAATTGACATATGTCAACAAACACACACTGCCCTAGATGCATTCACCAGGTTGTGCCAAGTAATCTGGAGGACAACCAGCTGGCCAACTGGCTGAAAGAGATCCATATTTGTTCCCATTTTAAAGAAAGGTGACCTGACAGAGTGTGGATATTATTGAATAATATCATTAATATCACATGCAAGCACCATTCTGCTGAAGATTATCTAAAGACAACTGGAACAGCACATCAACAGAGAAATGCCAGATGTGCAGGCTGGGTTTAGAAGAGGCCGTGGTAGTAGGGGTATTATAGCTAATGTTAGATGAACGTTGCTGAAAGTAGATAGTACCAGAGGAATGTCTATCTGTGTTTCATTGACTATCCGAGGGCATTTGACTGTGTGGATCACAACATAGTATGGCTAATTCTAAGAGAATAGGAATCCCAGAATACTTGATTGTGCTTATGCAAAACCTATACTTGGACCAGGAGACAGTTGTCAGAACAGAGCAAGGAAACACTGCATGGTTCAAAATTGGGAAAGGTGTACACCTGGGATGTGTGCTATCTCCATACCTTTTCAATTTATAATCAGAACAGATTATCTGGGAGGCTGGGCTCTATGAGGAGGAGTGTGCATCAGAATTGAAGGAAGACTCATCAACATCCCACACTATGCAGATGACACAATCCTGCTTGCTGAAACTGAAGAGGACCCGAAGCACTTGCTGCAGAACATCAAGAAAACAAATATTCTCACCACTAGACAGACAGCATCACAATAGACAGTGAAGAGATTGAGATTGCTGACAGCTTTAGTTTGCTTGGCTCCACAGTCAACACTCTTGGTACCAGCAGCCAAGAAATCAAAAGATAAATTGCATTTGAAAAATCAGCTGTCAGGGACTACTCCAGAGTACTGAAGAGCAAAGGTGTCAGTCTGAAGATTAAGGTGCCCTTCATAGTCTTCACAGTTACTTGCTAAGTGTTAGAAAGCTGGACAATGGCTAGGGATAGTAGAATGAAAATTGATGCCTTTTAGCTGTGGTACTGGAGAAGAATATTGAATATACCATGGACTGCCACAAGAATAGACAGGTTCATCCTGGAGAGGATGAAACAAGGCTGCTCCTTGGAGGCAAATATTCTGACATACTTTGGATATGTTGCAAGGAAGGACCAGTCCTTGGAGAAGGCCATCATGCTTGGAAGGGTAGAGGGACAGCACAAGAGAGGAAGACCCTGGATGAGATGGATTGATTCAGTGACTGGGGTAATGGTGTAGGTGTGTCAGAGACAATGAAGTTGGCTCAAAGTAGAGCAAGGTTCAGAGCTATTGTACATAGGGTTGCTATGAGTCACAAGCAACTTGACAGTACGTAACAGCAACAATAACAAGATTCTTAATCTTCTTCTTCAAAATCATCAGACAAAGTCATCAGTTCTTCAGCCTTCCTTACTTATGGTCCAACTTTCACTTAGATATAAAGCTATTGAAGATACTATGCCTTGGATCAGTTTACTGATAATCCAGCTTTTACTTACATACAAAGCAATTGAAATGACTATGGCTTGCATCAGTTTAAAAACCAACCAGTTATGGCTGATTTAAGCCATGATCTTTTCAATCACCTGTGTGTATCTGACAGCTGGGGAATGAATAAGGAGACAGAGGAAGGAATTGATGCCTTTGAATTGTGTGTTGGAGGAGAGTGCTGAATATCCCATGGACAGCCAAAAGAGCA